CTAGTAGCGATGCCAGGAGCCCCTAGTAGCGTCCTTGCCCCTAGTAGTAGTATGGCAAGCAGAACTACTTGAAACTTGACACTTTCGGGAGTGCGAGAAGACTGACTGGTGAAAAAAGAAACAAACTGATGGCAGCCAAGTGTCCTGAGTGACTGCAAATGTGCACAAGGCGACAAAGCCCAGCACAAAAACAATGAGAAAGGTCCAACCAATGGCCAAGATCATGCTATGCTCATCAGATCCACAAATGATCTCTGGATACTTCAGGACGCTTCTCAAACCATTTGGGTGTTTGTAGCACATCATCGGGGCAAGCGCTGTGGCTGACATGGTGGAGAATCCCACCTGGTTGGTGGTTTCAACTCACGAAAACAGATTCAGTGGGTTCAGCCATCCCAGGTACAATTAGAAGGTCAGAACATATCTGAAAACAAAACATCACAGGAAAAGGTTAAAACGCAAAATATCTGTAACCACCGCCCAGACACTTGTAGAAATGCCCCGCAAGTGCTCTGCGTCTTGGGGAGAATCCATCGGTGCTCTGTTGGTAGAAAGCGAGACATCCCATAGCACAGCCAAAGCCAAGCCGCACCAATAGGAAACATCAGCGCACCTGGCTCCCGACACCGTCTCGATCGGAAAAGAGTTCGGTGAACCAAACGAACTCCACTTGTGGATTTGAGTGGCGAAATACCCAATCCCTTCAAAATGGTGAAAGGTTGTCCACTGACTAGGCACTGAAAAGGTAGCGAATGGCCGCGGATGAGCCTGGCCACGCTTCTGGCGAGGAGACCCGTGACGGTCGAAGAATCCCTAAACCCGAAACACACGAACACCGGATGAGGAATGGACTTCTTCTGAAAGTCGTCTGTGCAAACTTCCAACCATGTTTGACAGAGAAGAATGGAAGTCTTGCAAGGAAGCAGGACTCTTCGTGGAGACTGCGTCTGTTTGGGTGAGGAGATCTCTGTATTATATATATATATGTACACATATTAAAGCATAGAATTATATATATACAATCATATGAATATATTGAGTTTTAGAGACAGATGGATTGAAACTATGTCGTTGAAGGCTCTTTCGTGGTGGGGGACCAAGTGATTTGACGACTCCACCAACAAGTGATTTTGACTACGCCACTACGCTTCTTCTCAGCATTTCTGTGGATGGAGTAAAATTAGTGTAGAGGCTTCTGAGAGGAACCCAACACGATGACCCAAAAGCTGCTGCCTGCAAGGCAACTGAAGCCATAACTGTCGATGTCAAGCAAGAGAAACTGACACACACTGAAGAAGCCCTTCAAGTCTTCTGGCCATGCAACGGTCCTTGGAAACTCCACTTTCCAGCACATTCCACTGGAGGTTTTGGAAAAGCGCATGAGAAACACGGGGTCGCAAAAACATTCCACGAGACTTCTTCCAGGAAAGGATCAACCTTGAAAATGATGGCCATGTCAGAGCTTATGCCACGGAGGTGATGGTTGCCTTGCCAATCCTGGTCCTCTTCATTGAAACGGTTGTGGAACCAAACAGCCATCTTCCAGAACATTGTGCCTCCCTGAAATTGATGGCAGAGATCACTGACATGGATGGAGCAGTTCAGTTGGTCACGCAGCTGCGCGATGCTGTAGATAAGCACGGCATCTTGTTCGACAAGCTATACCCTGGTTGCGCAAAGCCAAAAGCGCATTGGCATCTTCACATTCCAGAGCAAATTCAATCCTTTGGCGTCAACATGTCTTGTTTCAGTCCCGAGCGGAAGCATCGGGCAATCAAGGCGATAGCAACTCATGTGTCCAACGATGCCATCAGCGGCAGCGTGTGCTTGCGAATGGGTTATGATACAATTCAACTTTTTGCTGAGAATGACAATTGCTGCAGGGTGATGCACCTTGAGGGTCCAGTGCGTGAGGTAAAGGGTGGGGCGAAGATGTTGAGCTTTTGGAGCAATGAGGTATCTTCTGTTTCATTGGCTAAGAAACTCAAAACTCCTGTGGGCATTGTTGCGCTAGCCTTGGATGAAAGAATGGTGTTGAGACCACATGTTTTCCTGGAGGCTGTTCTCATAACAGGCCACCGCGTTTTCTTGTCGCAAGTCTTTGCCCACACGTGCGCTACAGATTGCCCTTTTGAACCAACACCAACAGAATGCTTGGTGGAATGGCGGCCAACATACAGGCCTGTGATGTACACCGAGCGATCCTGTGGCTCAATTCACGCGTGTCTCTCCAAAGTAGACCAGGAGCGTCTCAGATGAATCCTCTGGGGATTGTTGGGGAAAATGAAGCAGTCTCCCACAGAGTTCGCTAACACTTTCTACTTGGCAAAAGAACTGAACATCACTTTGCATTCAGTGTTTTGCGATTTACATTCAATGTCATTCAATATTGAATATGTTAATATTACATTCAATTTCGCTGGCTTCAGAATTTTGTGATCTCGAAGGCTCGCCCCTTATCAATCAAAGGGCTCGCCTTTTGATTTTGAGACCACGTCGAACCCGCAGACTCCTGTGCCAGGAACTCCATCCACTGTGCGAGGAGACGCGGCTTTAGACATTGCAGCATTGGGGCCGAGGAAAGCAGTGACAGGCGCTGTACATGTCATCGGGGAATTGACGATGGAAACAGCATTGTTATTGTGAGAGCTTCATCGAAGAGTCGTGAAATTCGACGATGCCGGAAGTGCCACAACCTGAGAAGCGCCATAAACAGGCTCGCTGAAAAACACGGGAGTTTGGTCAAGGACTGTTCCAAGGTGGATCAAGGGGCTGTGGAGTCCTTCTTCCATGATCACCCAGAACCTACGACAGAAACTGGAACAAGCAGTCATGGACTGGAAGACAAAGACTACTCGGATGGAGTTCAACCAGAGGTCGACCTACATGGATGAAATTGATTTGACAAAGACATACGAATCTCGACCTGAACTGCTGGCAAGCATTTTGGAAAACGCTCACCGATTCTTTTGTCCAGTGAAGAAGGTGCTGCTCTACGCTGATCCAAAGTATAGAGGTCGTGTTTCAGATGTGACTGAGAGTGGCACTACAGAGAAGCGCAAGTGCACCACAGGCTTGCAGACCAAGAAGAAACGTGGCAAGGGCGGCGAAACAGAGCCCAAGGAGGAGCAGCTGGAACAGAAATTGAAAGCTGGAGAGAAAAAGAAAGTGACAAAAAAGATTGAAGGGCTCACGGCAAAGAATTTGCAGCTCAATGATATGATCAGCAAAGCTGGTGGATATGGTGATATGATCCCTGCGTATGTGCAAGCACATGCACGAGAAGCAGTAAACACTGTGGACGACGGGATTGTCAAGGCCCAGAACATGATCAATGACAACAAGGGCGACGCCAAGAACATGATGGAGGAGCTGGACAAGGTTTTGGAGAGTGGGGTTGTTGCAGCAGACCGATTAAAAGCTCAACTCGACGCTGCTGCGGCATTCAACGTGTGATGCTTATTGCACCCATCTATACTTGTGGTCTATGACCTGCGCTGGCCAAGGGGATGGCCAAACATGAAACCATGATGCGGCAGTGAAAACATTTATGCGTTCAATGTGAAAATTTCTGATTTTGTGCATTGTTTTATTTCTTGTGACATTGGTCAACCAGTTGTAGTCTTGAAGAGTAACTTGAAATTGAAACGCACGGACATATCATGAGAGTATCAGGGCCGTATCAGGAGTATCAGGGCCGTATCAGGGTAATATCAGGGCTATGTCAAGACAGGGTTGGGACTTGGGAAGAGCATTTGGGAGATTGAAATGGAATCCAGTTTCTGCGTAGACACATGTCAAACCATGTGCGTATGTATATGTGAACATGGAAATTGATAGACATGGACTCGTTGAAGGACGAGACGCTGGGCGAGACTCAGGTTTATACACGATGAAGGACGAGGGAAAAATGATGTGAAGGGGAGGACCCTGGGCGAGCCTCAGGGTTGCAGGATGAAGGATGAAGGAGGTCAATGACGTGAAGGGGAGGACCCTGCACGAGCCTCAGGCGATTAAGGAAAAGGATAAAGGATGAAGGATTGCAGTAAAAGGGATTAAGGAAAAGGGGAAAAAGGATTGAAGGGACGAAGAGACTTGAGAGAGGAGGGGGTGAACGAAAGGTAGCAGGCAATCACAAGCAAGCCTAGGCCTGGTAGAAGTCCATGACGGCGTGAACCGGCGCAGGGGGGATTTGATCCAGGGGGGGGGCCCCGTTCGTTGGACAGTTCCGGACCATGCGGCACACAAGTAGTTAAAACAATACAAGACAACTTTTCACACAACAACTTAAAACAATCATCTGTACAAGTACACAATACAAGACAGTTAGAAGAGAACCGACATCTTTGGAGTGGATACAATCACACTTCGTATGACTATAAAAGAGCACTTAACACTTCTCAGATACTCAACGCTATAAGAGACTTATATTCCCAGTCGTGTAACAATCGAAGATTTAAACCCCGCGAGCCCCGCAGACCCCGCGGACCCCACAACCCCCCCGGACCCCGCGGACCCCGCAAACCCCGCAATCCCCCCGCGGACCCCGCGGACCCCACAATCCTCGCGGACCCCGCGCCGACCCCGCAAACTCCGCAAACCCCGCGGACCCCGCGAACCCCGCGGACCCCGCAAACCCCGCGAACCCCGCGAACCCTGCGGACCCCGCGGCCCCCGCGAAC